CTTTTTTTTTTTTTTTAATTTATATCCAAATTAGTTAGCATATAGTGCAACAATGATTTCAGGAGTAGCTGCCTTAGTGCCCCTTACCCATTTAGCCCATCCCCCCTCCCACAACCCCTCCCGTAACCCTCAGTTTGTTCTCCATATTTAGGAGTCTCTTCTGTTTTGTCCCCCTCCCTCTTTTTATATTATTTTTGTCCCCTTCCCTTACATTCATCTGTTTTGTCTCTTAAAGTCCACATATGAGTGAAGTCATATGATTTTTGTCTTTCTCTGACTAATTTCACTTAGCGTAATACCCTCCAGTTCCATCCACGTAGTTGCAGATGGCAAGATTTCATTCTTTTTGATTGCCAAGTAATACTCCATTTAGGTATATACCACATCTTTTTTATCCATTCATCCATCGATGGACATTTGGGCTCTTTCCATACTTTGGCTATTGTTGATAGTGCTGCTATAAACATGGGGGTGCATGCGTCCCTTCAAAACAGCACACCTGTATCCCTTGGATAAATACCTAGTAGTGTAATTGCTGGGTCTTAGGGTAGTTCTAGTTTTAATTTTTTGAAGAACCTCCATACTGTTTTCCAGAGTGGCTGCACCAGTTTGCATTCCCACTCTACTCATTCTTTTTATTGGATTTTTTAAAAAAGATGTTCTTTTATTTTTTAAGTTCTATTTATTTAAGTTATCTCTACACCCAACGTGGGGCTCAAACTCGACCCCGAGATCAAGAGACGCAAGCCAGGCACCGCTGGGGTTTTTGCTATGGAACTGTCTGAGTTCCTCATTTATTTTGGATATTAACCTCGTCAGATACATGACTTGTAGACGTTTTCTCCCATTCCATAGCATTTTCATTTTGTTGATGGTTGCTCTTGCTGTCCAGAAGCAGTTTAGGTGAATATAGTCCTACTTGTTCATTTTTGCTTTTGTTGCTTGTGCTTTTGGTGACAAAAATCATTGCCAAGACCAGTGTCAAGGACCTTTTTTTCTTATGTTTTCTTCTTGGAGTTTTATCGTTTTGTGTCTGAGTAGTTAAGTCTTTAATTCATTTTGAGTTAGTTTTGGTAAGTAGTAGAAAATAGAGGATGAATTTCATTATTTTGAGAGTATCTAATTTTGCCAGTAACATTTATTGAAGAGACTGTCTTTTCTCTATTTATTGAGTATTCTTGGCTTCCTTGTCAAAAACTGGTTGATTATATATGTGTGGCTTTATTTCTGGGCTATTGATTGTGTTCATTGGTCTATGTGCCTGTTTTATGCAGGCACCGCGTGCTTTAATGACTGTAGCTTTATAATGTAGTTGAGTCAGGAAGTGTGATGCCCCAGCATTGTTCATTCTCAGGATTGCTTTGGCTATTTGGGGTGTTTTGTGACTCCATACAGATTTTAAGATTGTTTTTTCTACTTTTGTGAAAAATGACCCTGGAATTTTGATAGGATTACATTGAATTTATAGATGGCTCTGACTCTTAAATGTAGAGAACAAACAGAGGGTTGCTGGATGGGTTGTGGGAGGGGGGATGGGCTAAATGGGTGAGGGGCTTAAGGAATCTACTCCTGAAATCATTGTTGCACCATGTGCTAACTTGGATGTAAATTATAAAAAATAAATAAATTATAGAATGTGCAGGGGAAAAAAATACAGATGGCTGTGGGTAGTATGGACATTTTAGCATATTAACTCTCCGATCCATTCATAAAAATGTTTTAATGGTCCTAATGTGTAGGCAGAGCTCCCTTTCTAGATTTCTTTTATTAAAGCCTCATCCAAAAACATTGAGTCTCATCCAGAAACATTGTGATGTTTCCAAAATGGTAGACACTTCCCTGTCTGTGGTATACATTTAACTAAAAGAGTACTTTTTCAATAAAATTTTAAAATGCTTTGCTTTTTAATTTTTTTCAGTATCTCTAAAGTTCTTGAAACACAGCCATACCCATTCATTTCATTGCCACAGCTGCTTTTATTTTTTTTTTTTTTAATTTTTTTTTTTTCAACGTTTATTTATTTTTGGGACAGAGAGAGAGCATGAACGGGGGAGGGTCAGAGAGAGAGGGAGACACAGAATCGGAAACAGGCTCCAGGCTCTGAGCCATCAGCCCAGAGCCCGACGCGGGGCTCGAACTCACGGACCGCGAGATCGCGACCTGGCTGAAGTCGGACGCTTAACCGACTGCGCCACCCAGGCGCCCCTTGCCACAGCTGCTTTTAGTGTGACAAATGACAGCGTTGAGTAGTTGTGACAGACCATATGGCCTGCAAAGCCTAAAATATTTACTCTGTGGTTCTTTTTTTGTTTTGTTTTTACTTTTTCTATTTTCCAATTTTTTTATGGTGGTAAAATATATAGACCATAAAATATGTTATTTTAACCATTTTAAGTGTACGATTCAACGGCATTAATGACATTCACAGGGTTGCACAGCCATCGCCAGTGGTTTACATTTTTCATCATCCCGAACATGAACTCTATGCCCGCTAAGGAATTACTCCCCATTCTCTCTTCCCAGCCCCTGGTAACCTCTAATATGTTTGCTGTTCTATGGATTTACACATTCTAGATTTTTTCAATGTTTATTTCTTTATTTTGAGAGAGTGCACGCCCGTGCACCACTGGGGGAGGGACAGAGAGAGTCCCGAGCAGGCTCTGTACTGTCAGTGGCAGAGCCCTATGGGGGATTTGATCCCACTTGATTGTGACCTGAGCTGAAACTGAGAACCGACTGCTTAACTGACTGAGCCACCAGACACCCTGATCTATTCTAGGTATTTTACATAAGTGGAATCAAACAGTATTGGTTCTTTTGGGTCTAGCTTATTTCACTTAACATCGTGTTTTCAAGACTTATTTATGTTGTGGCGAGCATTAGAACTTTTTATGGCTTTTTATGGCTCATTAGCATTCTATCGTATGTACCTATCACATTTTGTTCACACATTCATCCGTTGTTGGTGGTGAACATTGGTGTACAAGTATCTCTTTGAGTTCCTGTTTTGAATTCCTTTCGGTATATACCTAGGAGTAGAATTGCTGGGTCACGTTTTATACATATAAAATGTATGTAAATCTGTATGTAAGCAAATATAAAATATACAAAGATACAAGTCTACATTTAACTTTGCACCATTTTACATTCTCACTGCTTTCTTATTTTGAAGAAAGATTTCTCCCAGTTTAGGATTCTTTTCTTAATTAGAAAAAATTTCCGGAGTTTCTCCTTACGTGCCAGGTGCTCTCTTGCGATCTTATTCTCTGGTAGCCCAGGTATGCTACGGGTGGAATTTAAACAGAAGCAGCTTATGGTTCTGCTTGAGGAAGAACTTTCCAGCTGAACGGTTGGAAAAAGAAATGGCCTGTCTTGGTGTGTGCTCCCCTCTCTTCTTTCAGAAAGACACTGGTTAGCCATTTGATTGGGGAGGGAGGGTCGAATTTTAACTAAATTATTGGTTGGGTTCTTTGAAGCCCATAGAATCTATTCAGTTGAAGTAAAGAAACCTGAAAGGAACCGTATTTCACACTCCGGAGTCCGAGGGTGATAATTAAGATAGGCAGTAAAACATCTCTTGTAAAACACTTTCTGCTATTTTCCAGATAATGTGCTAGACATAGTCCTTGCAGTAGAGGGAGACGGGCGTGTATGTGGAATCAATTATGGGTTCCAGAGTAGAAACACAAGATACAGTGAGAAGACGAAGGAGGGAATGGTCAGCTCTGGAATCAGAGGGGGCTGGGATTAAATGCGTAGGGGAGTCACGGAAAGAATCGATGCTTCAGCTGAGGCTGAAAAAACAAGTGGGTGTTCACTGGGCAGATCAGAGGAAAAGCTGGGCGGGCAAGGCAGGGATTGATGAGAATTTGATAGCCCTGCGTCCAGTGCTTCAGTTACTCTAAAAGTCACTTGGGTAGAAGCCAGGGGAAGTCGGTTGGGTCCTCTGTGCCATCCCCAGGGAGCTTAGTTTTTCCTCTGTAGGCAGTGGGAGCCATTGAAGGTTTCACACAAATGAGTATCAAGATGGGGTTTCTTTGGCAGCCCCATGGAAGGCAGATTTTAGAGGGACAAGATCAGAGAGACCAGTTAAGAAATTACTGAAGTAGTTTGTGACGAAGGCCTTGAACTCTGACTCTACTCACATGACTAACTGTACTTCCCGTTATTCCCTTCTTTAATATCCTCCCTACTGGGGCGCCTGGGTGGCGCAGTCGGTTAAGCGTCCGACTTCAGCCAGGTCACGATCTCGCGGTCCGTGAGTTCGAGCCCCGCGTCAGGCTCTGGGCTGATGGCTCGGAGCCTGGAGCCTGTTTCTGATTCTGTGTCTCCCTCTCTCTCTGCCCCTCCCCCGTTCATGCTCTGTCTCTCTCTGTCCCAAAAATAAATAAAAAACGTTGGAAAAAAAAAAAAAAAAAAAATATCCTCCCTACTTGTGATGCTCATTCTTTGTGTAGTTGTTCTTCTTGCTTCTATAGTACGCATTCACTTTTCCATTTGAACCAATGACATTCTTCAGTAGTCCTTTTTAAGATGTTTTCTCTGAGCTTCTATGACATCTATAAAATAATGTATTGATCACCTGCTGTGGACCAAACTAGGCAGTAGGTGGGATGCAGGTATTATCTCATTTAATCTTTATAACATCCTTCTGAAGGGTTAATAATAATTGTTCCATATAACAGGTAAGACTCAGGCCAAGTAACATACTCAGGTTTACGTAGCTTTAAGTAGCATCTGAGCCAGGACTATCTGTCTTGAAAGCGTCTGTTTGTTTCACTAAATGACACTGCTTTCTTTTTGTGAGTTTACATAATTTAGCTCCCATTTGCATAATGTTAATTGTTTCATGTATCTTTCCTCTTTGCTAAATTGACATTTTTGATGATAGAGACAATATTGTTACATCACCTATGTACTACCAAGGATTTAGCCCCAGCATATATATTTACTGAAGTTTTGGATGAACGGATATCTAATGACCTGTTTGTCAGCGGGCTTTTTCTTTTTATTGTTGCAGATCTCCTTACAACATGCATTATACCTTCTGCATCATGGAATGCTTGAGGATGCAAACAGAAATCTCAGTCGTGCAGAGACGTGGAGATACGGGGAAAAGTCATCTTCCCAGGAAGTGTTAATCAACCTTATTCAGGCCTATAAAGGGCTTTTGCAGTATTATACTTGGTCTAAAAAGAAGATGGAATTGTCTAATCTTGGTGAGCGAAGATGAGTGTACTTTTTATGGCTATGAGACCGAATCAGAGGGACAGACAGGATCTTTTTTTTCCTTTAAGTTTATTTATTTTGAAAGAGAGACAGTGCGCGTGAGTGAGAGAGTGCGCGTGAGTGAGCACGCAAGTGGGGGAGGGGCAGAGAGAAGCAGAGACAGAATCCCCAGCAGGTTCTGCGACACCAGTGCAGAGCCCGATGTGGCAGTTGAACTCACGAACCATGAAATCATGACCTGAGCCAAGATCAAGAGTCAGATGCTTAACCGACTGAGCCATCTGGGTGCCCCTAGACAAACAGGATATTAAGGAATAACCTCATTCTCCTACTTTGAAGCCTGGCTCTTTCCAGATAACTGCAGAGAACAGACATATCTATTGATGTAAAATTCTTGATCATCCTTTGTAATATTTCTGATATATCATACTTTTCAGACATAAATTAGATGATGCATAAATTAAGTCCATGACCATGTTAGATTTATTGTTTTTTTAATTTTTTTTTTTTTTTTTTTTTTTTTTTTTTTTTTTTTTACATTTATTTTTGAGAGACAGAGAGCGTGAGCTGGGGAGGGGCAGAGAGAGAAGGAGACACAGAATCTGAAGTAGGGTCCAGGCTCTGAGCAAGCTGTCAGCACAGACCTTGATGCAGGGCTTGAACTCACAAACCACGAGATCAGACCTAAGCCGAAGTTGGACACTCAACTGATTGAGCCACCCGAGTGCCCCAGTTTATTGTTTTTTTAAGTATTTTCAAGAAAGGTTACAAATTTTTTTTAGTAGACATTATTGCATATAATAAACATTTCTTCCTGTGTATTTATTTGTTTTTTAAATTTATTTTTACTTATTTATTTTTTTTAAAGTTTATTTATGTAAGCAGTTTCTATACCCGGCATGGGGCTTGAACCCACAACCCCAAGATCTAGAGCTGCGTGCTCTCTCTACTGACTGAGCCAGCCAGGCGCCCCGTTTTCCTGTGTGTTTAGAATGGAGTTTAGTTTGTTTTATAATGTTCGTTTTTGTAAAAAAGAAATTTATTTTTAAGTAATCTCTAAATTCAGTGTGGGGCCTGAACCTACAGCCTGAGATCAAGAGTTGTACGACCTTCTGACTGGGCCAGCCAGGTGCCCCTGTTTTATGATGTTATTCTTCATACTCATATTCTTCATATTCTTCATATTCTTCTCTAATATGCTTAGAGAATGGGGCAAGGTAAAGTTGTTTTGTTTCTGTACAAAGGTCATGATTTTCTTGGTTGACCACACCAGGAATTGGCTGCATGTCCCTACTTCTCAGAGTTCCCTTTCTCTTGCTTCCAGTGGTGATGTTACCTCTCCTATCCCCGGATTTGTGCTTAATTCTCTGCATCTTCCTTCTCTTGTGTAGTTTTCCTCCATAGCTTCTCCAGGATTAACCCTTTTTATTTCCTCATCCTCCATCCAAATCTCAGTCCCCGTATATATTGGCTCATATGTATAAGCAGTGATTCCTTACAATACTTATATGTATATAATATTCCCTTGGTCTCTTGGATATGCAGGTTCACTAATCTCAAAGTTCCATTCCCTCTTTCTGAGTATGATCTCTCCCAAGACACTCGTGAAAAGCTGTCTTCATTGTGATAATCTTGTCCAGTCTTCATTGTGATAATCTTGTCCAGTCTTCATGCTTCCTCTCCATCTAGAAGGCCATCTGCCCTTCCATGACTCGTGAGACCCCCTCATTCTCATACCATAAACCTCATAGCTCCATGTCTGACCTATATCATTTGACTCTTTACCTCTTGCTTTTTAATTGTCCTAAGTTTTTTCATGTCTGCTTTATGTTGTATCTCTTCTTTCTTCTAGACTAATCAGTCTTCTGAGGTTACATATCTCTTATTTCTTTGGTTAACCTTGACATAATGCCTGGTATAATTTTCTTTTTTTTTTTTTTTTTTTTTTTTTTTTGAAGGCTTATTGAGGGACACCTGGTGGCTCAGTCGACTGGTTGAGTGTCCGACTTTTGATTTCAGCTCAGGTCACGATCCCAGCTTGTGGGATTGAGCCCTGCGTGGACTCTGTGCTGAGCGTGGAGCCTGCTGAAGATTCTGTCTCCCTCCCTCTGCCTTTCTGCCCTGCTCACGCTCTCTGTCTCTCTGTCTCAAAATACATAAAACCTAAAGAACTAAAAAAGGCTTATTGATATTAATTGATTAGATGAGTTTTAAAGCCAGTATTTGCCTTTTTCTAACCTTTCTGGTTAGGTGGAACTCAACCATTGATGATAAAAGCAGTAGGAACATGGCGTTTGCACGGTCTCTTCCACGGGTAGATGATTTAGGACCTTTCTGCAGCTGACGGCTTGTTCGCTACCAAGAAGACATAAAGATGACATAATGTGTGGAGCTCTTTAGATCATCTTTAACTTTGGATGTTTGTTTCGTAAAGAAAGGTTAGGACAAGGGGCACCTGGGTGGCGCAGTCGGTTAAGCGTCCGACTTCAGCCAGGTCACGATCTCGCGGTCCGTGAGTTCGAGCCCCTTCGGGGCTCTGGGCTGATGGCTCAGAGCCTGTAGAGTCGAGCCTGTTTCCGATTCTGTGTCTCTCTCTGCCTCCCCTGCTCGTTCATGCTCTGTCTCTCTCTGTCCCAAAAAAAAAAAACGTTGAAAAAAAAAAAAAAAAAATTAAAAAAAAAAAAAAAAAAAGAAAGGTTAGGACTGGTTCTGTGTAACTAAACTCATGAGAACATAACACCTGAACGAATGCTCAGTATTGGTTTGGGATTTTTCTCTGTTGCTCTTGGCCTCTCCTGGTTGGGTTTGACGCACTGGTGACTGGAGACCCCCTTCCACGGTAAATTCACACTCTACTTCTACTGACTCAGGGGTGTGCTTTTTTTTTTCCTTTTAAAATTCTTTGTAGTTTCTTAACCTATTTTCCCTTTATCACTTCATATTCAGGTCCGTATTGATATATATTTTAGTTGATCCTCTGGGAGGAGAATACCTATGCATTTTGGGGAAGGGGAGGGGCTGTTATTTTGGCCAAAAATAAAAAGTATTTTGTTTCGGTTAGCTGTCACTTTTGAAAGACTAACTTTTCTTTTAAGTTTTTTAAAAAAATATTTATTTTGAGAGGGGGGAGAGAGAGAGAGCGTGAGCGTGCACGAGTGGGGGAGGGGCAGAGAGAGAGGGAGACACAGAATCCGAAGCAGGCTCCAGGCTCTGAGCTGTCGGCACAGAGCCCGAAGCGGGGCTGAAACCCACAAATGGTGAGATCATGACCTGAGCTGAAGTCGGTCGCTTGACTGACAGCCACCCAGGTGCCCCTAGACTAACTTTCCTTTTAAACCTTTAAGACTGTGAAATATAACGTGCAGAAAAAGTGTGTACACAGATGTGTGATAAAATGAATGATTTAAAACAAATATCCAGGTAGCTACCACCTAGGTTCATTCTCAAAGCTCCCCAGGTATGCCTTCCTGACCACACCTCCTTTTGTTCCTTTTGTGTGTGTTGGCAGGGAGGGAGGGAGTTGGGGGTGGGCGGGGAGAGTTTGTGAAGATGTAGTATTATTCTTTAAATGTTTGTTAGGATTTACTGGCGGAGCCATCAGGGCCTGAACTTTTCCTGTGGATAGTTCATTGATTGCTGTTACTATCAGGAGTGTCCTCGATACTGAATAACTTTCAAAAATCTTTTATCTCTGAACAGATGAAGATGACTATGCTTACAACACAGCATCCCAGACTATGCTCAACCACAGTTGGAAGACATCGGTAAACCTTGGTGCCTTGATTCAAACTCCTGGAGTTTGGGACCCTTTTGTGAAGAGTTATGTAGAGGCAAGTAGGCTTCTCATAAAGTTGTATTCGTTTCATTTTGTTATAAGCCTTACCTTTTTTGGTCAGAAGGCAACTAAATGGAGAAAATTGTTTTGTTTTTTTTTTTAAAAAGAGAGAGGGGCACCTGGCTGGCTCAGTCAGTGAAGCATGCAGCTCTTCATCTCAGGGTTGTGGGTTTAAACCCCATGTTGGGTATAGAGACTACTTAAAAAAAATAAAGTCTTTAAATAAATAAATAAAAATTTAAAAAAAATTTTTTAAAAATTTAAAAGACGGACTATGGTATGTCTTTTTGGTCTGAGTCATTTTTATTTTACTAATATCCTGTAAATGTTACTGTTTTTGTTCCCCTCACCACAGAATAATGGGTCATGGTCGAATATTTATAAAATTAATAGCAATATAATTTGTAAATGTTAATTTGTTAGTATTATTATTGAATTTAGAAGGAAAGCAAAAAGTTGGCTGTAGCTTTTTTAAGTAGGCTTTATGCTCAGTGCGGAGCCAACGTATGGCTTGAACTCACCACCCTGAGATCATGACCTGAGTTGAGATCAAGAGTCAGACACTTAACCAAGCGAGCCACCCAGGTGTTCCCAAGCAGAAAGATATTTTATATTTCGTGGACTAGAGAAGACCAGGGGACAAAAATCTGAAACTAGGTCATAAAGTGGGATGAAGAATAATGGCTTTTAGGAAGTTCGTCAGGGTGCTGTGTCATCTCAGAGTTGCTGTGAAAGGACGGCGGGCGGGGGGGGCCTTGGCACTGGGAATAAATCTTCAGAATTTTTGAAAGTTACATAAATGCTAACGTGATAATTATGCTGACAAAAGATACTCTCTGAAACCACATGCCAGGGAATCTGTGAATTCCCCTGTGTGGGTGGGAACGAAAGGGAAGGAATCCTAGTTCCCATGTGCTCCTTCTGTGGCTGAAGTCATGTCGGCACTGAGGTTAGCTGCTTCGTGGGGTCTTTCTCACTCGTCGGTGGGCCCTGCTTTGAGGCCTTCATTTCTTCCAGGAACAGTTCCTAGGTTGAAGTGGCTGCATTTTTCAGTAACAAAAATGTGATCAGGAAGAAATGGGAACCCATGTGGGCCTTTGTTGTAAGTGATGTGTGTTCCACAGAGGTTGTAACGTATGCTGGTGACAGCAAAAACTGCCATTACTGTCGTTCCCTGTACAGGAAGTACTGTTTGTCATTTTAGTGAATTTTTGTACCCATCAACAAAGTCAAGTTGTGCATTATCTTTCACTCAGCTGTCTTACAGAATTTAGCGAAGACATTATGACTTATTTTATATAGATGCTGGAGTTCTATGGGGATCAAGATGGAGCCCGAGAGGTACTCACCAATTATGCCTATGATGAAAAGTTCCCGTCAAATCCAAATGCTCACGTCTACTTATACAACTTTCTAAAGAGGGAGAAGGCACCAAGAGAGAAACTGATAAGTGTGCTGAAGGTATAAAATGTTTATTTCAATGCCTGAACAGGGTCGGAGATCTACTTTAAGACCTCCTTAGGGGCGTATGGCTGGCTCAGCTGGAAGAGCATGTGACTCTTGATCTCAGGGTGGTGAGTTCAAGTCCCATGTTGGGTAAAGAGATTACTAAAAAAAAGAAACTTCAAAACATCCTTAGGTCGTGCCTTCCAACTTGCAGATTCTGGCACTCCTAGCAAGTCACTCTGTTTGTGTGATGGTGCCCTGAGGTGGACAGAGGGGATCCCGCCCTGACGTGCTGCCCTGAGGGGATCCTGCCACGGCCCGTTCCCCCATCGCCCTGCCCAAGTGAGACTGAGGGCAGAAACCCTTTGCCACCCTTCTTGGAAAGTTCTGCTTTGATAATTTTTGAAAATCAGCTTTATGGAGCCTTTCACACACAATAAGACACTTATTTTAAGTGTACACTTGAAGGCGTTTTGACAGAGACATACATCCACGTAACCACCATGATGATCAAGACGCTGGACATTTCCATCCTCTCAGAACATCTTTGATTTCCCTTTTGCAGCCTATCTACCCACATTTTTCTGGCCCCAGGCAAATAATGATCTGCCTTCTGTCACTACACATTAATTTTACCTCTTCTAGAATTTCATACATGTGAAACCTGCAATATGTGCTCTTTATTGTGTGGCTTGTCTTGCCCCGCATGTTTTTGAGAGTCATCCGTGTTATTGTGGGTGTCCGTAATTTGTTCCTTATTACTGCTGTGTAGTGTTCCATTTCTACACATACACTTCTTGATGGTGTATTTTCACTTTTTGCCTGCTATGAATGCTGAGGTGAGCACTCACGTACAGGGCTTTGTGTGCATATATATTGTCATTTTTCTTGGGTAACTGTATGAGTGGAATTGCTGGAAAATTTGAAACAACCTCATAAGAAACTGCCCAACTGTTTTTTTTTTTTCTCCGATTGAGATGTAACTGGTGTATAACGGTATGTTATTTTTAGATATACAGTGTAGCGATTCAGTATTTGTATGTATCGTTAGCGATTCAGTATTTGTATGTATCGTAAAATGATCACCACAGTAATTCTATCTATCTGTCTATCACCACACAATTACATCTATCACCACGCAGTTACAACTTACTTTTCTTGTGATGGGAACTTTTAAGATTTATTCTCTCAGAAACTTCAAATACACAATACTGTATTAACTGTAGTCACCATGTTCTATATTATATCCCCAGGACTTAGGTTTATTGTATAACTGGAAGTTTGTACCTTTTTCTTTGTTTTTTGCTTTCGAGTTGTATTAGCTCTTTATATTTTAGATATTAAACCCTTACCAGATAGGTGATTTGCAAATATTTTCTCCTTTCACTGGGTTGCCTTTTCATTCTGTTGATGGTTTCCTTTGCTGTGCAGAAGCGTTTTAGTTTGGTGTAGTCCCACTTGTTTTTTTTTTTTTGCTTTTGTTGCCTTTTGCCCCACCGGTTTGTGAAGTGACCATACCATTGACATTCATGCCGTCAGTATGTGAAGGTTCAGTTTCTCACTTCCTCACTAACACTTGGTATTGTCAGTCGTTTGAATTAATAGCCATTTTAGTGGATATGCAGTGGTGTCTCATGTGGTTTTAAGTTGCATTTTCCTAATGACTGATGATGTTGAGTATCTTTTCATATGCCTGTTGGCTACTCCTGTATCATCTTTTGTGAAGTGTCTGTTCAAACGTTTTGTCTCTTTTTTTAGAGAGTAATTTGTCTTCTCATGGATTTGTTAGTTTTATATAATCTGTTCTTACCTAAGGCATATGACCTAGGATTCACAACATGGACTGAGAATATTTTCTTCCAATCTGTGGCTTGCCTTTTTTTTCTTAATAATGTCTTTTGAAGAGCAGAAATCTCTAATTTTGAAGTACAATTTATGCATTTTTTCTTTTATAGTTACTATTTTTTGTCCAAGAAATCTTTGCCAAGCCCAAGATAATGAAGATTCTCTTCTATGTTTTTTTTTTCTTTTTTCTAGAAGTAGTACAAATTTGTGTTTAGGTCTGTGATAGATTTTCAGCTAATTTTTTTAAGTATTTTATTTTTATTTCTTTAGAGAGAGAGAGCATGAGTTGGAGAGAGAAGGGGCGGAGGGGGGGGAGAGAGAGAGAGATAGAGAGATAGAGAGAATTCCAAGCAGGCTTCACGCTCAGCACAGAGCCTAACACGGGCTCGATCCCATAACCCTGGGATCATGACAAGCTGAAACCAAGATTCAGACACTCAACTGACTAAGCCACCTAGGCTCCCCTTTCCATATACATTTTTATTTTTATTTTTATTTTTTTAATGCTTTTTTTCTTTTTTTTTTTGAGAGAGAGAGAGGGATACCATGAGCAGGGGAGGGGCAGAGAGAGAGAGAGAGAGAGAGAAAGAGAGAGAGAGAGAATCCTAAGCAGGCTCCTCAGTGCAGAGCCCAACACAGGGCTCAGTCCCACAAA